GCCTTGCCTCAGCCCGCGGCGGTGCCAGATCGGCGGGCCGGGGTCTCCGTTGAGCATGACCCGAGTGCTTGCCGATGATAGCAGGATGGCCAGCCATTCTCTGAATCGGTCCCCAAACCCATATTGGCACAACACCTCAAAGAGGAAGGGCCAGGATATGGAGTCAAAGGCACGAGTGAGGTCGAGCTTGAGCATGATCTTGGGCGCGCCAAGTTGGTGCAGCATCTTGAGGGATTGCCGGACAAGTGTGAAGTTGTCGTGAAGAGTACGTCCGACAATGAACGCGTTCTGGTTGCGGCTGAGGAGGCTGTCGAGCTTGGGGGTGAGACGCAGTGAGAGGACCTTCGCGAAGATCTTGGCCACTATGTGGATCAAGCAGATCGGCCGGTAGTCTCCGGGTTGCTGAGCGTCCGCGCGCTTGGGCAGCAGGGTAAGCAGCGCTTGGTTGAGCCTGCTAAACCCGCGTCCGCGCAGCGTGTACAACAGCTCGAACACGCTCCAAATGTCGTGCCGTATGATGCTCCAGCAAGCACGCAGAAATTCCGCGGTGAAGGCGTCCGGCCCGGGCGCTTTTCACGCCGGCATGCACTTGACGGCCTCCCATATCTCCTCCTGGCTGAAGGGCTCGTCGAGGCATGTGAGGTCGCTGGGTATAATGAGTTGGGAGAGATCAAGCGTGTGTTCTTGGTCCACGGCAGTGCCCAGCAAGCCATCAAAATGCGTGAACGCCGCGCTGGCCATCTCCTCATGATCGGTGAGCACCTGGCCGTCGACGACAAGACTGTGAATGCGATTCTTTTGCCGTCGGAAGGAGCATTGCCTGTGGAAAAAACTCGTGTTGGCGTCGCCGTCCTTGAGAGTCGCGATGCGGGCTCGCTGCCTGGCGATCGTGCGCTCCATGGAAGCCATGCCCAGGTAGGTGACCTTAAGCTGCTTGCGAAGCCACTCCTCTGGAGGCGAGAGTGCCTGGTCCTCACGCGCCTTGTCAAAGCGCAGGATCAGCTCGCGGGAGATGACAAGCTTCTCCCGGATGTTGCCCCTGGACTTGGCGCTCCAGCTGGATAGGCGGTGGGCAGTGGCCTGAAGGCGCTTGACCAGCCTCCAGAAGGGGTCGTCGTCGTGCACCGAGCTCCAGGCCGTGGCAACAGTGTCGTGGAAGCCGTCCAGCCGAAGCCAATAGTCCTCGAAGTGGAAGCGCTTGCGAGCCGTCGGCATGGGGGAGCAATCCAGCAGCAACGGACAGTGGTCTGACACGACCGAAGCGAGACATCGGAGGTGGCACTCGCCGTGCGCATCTTCCCAATCCGAGGTGCAGAGGACGCGGTCCAGGTGCACCAGCGTGGGCGGCGACTGCTCGTTCGACCACGTGAAGCGGCGCCCATTGAGATAGACCTCCTTTAAGGCGAGGTCGTTGATGACGCGGCGAAACCTTCACATCATGCGTCGGTGCAGGCCACCCATGTTTTTGTCCTCGTCCCGGAGAATGAGGTTGAAATCGCCACAGAGCATCCATGGGCCGGGGCATGCCGCACGTATGTCGCGCAGCTCCTGGAGGAACAGGATCTTATCAGCGTCTTCCTGGGGGCCGTAGACCGTCGTAAGCCACCACGGTGTCCCGGAGGCCACGGTCACCTTGGCCGTGAGCGCGTTCTGGGTCAGCAGGGGGTCGGAGATCGAGACGACTCTGCTCTTCCAAGCGATGAGGATGCCGCCTCGTGTGCCAACAGCCGGGAGGTAAGCGTAGTCATCGAACTCGGAACCGAGGATGTCAAGCACGATGGGCGAGTAGATCAAAGCCATCTTAGTTTCTTGTAGGCATACAATGGCGGCGCCGGTGGTGTCCAGCAGAGATCGTATGGCACGACGCCGGGCGCGCGAGTTAAGCCCTCGAACATTCCAAACTGCAATCTTTATTCTGTGATCCATGGACAAGGGGTCGACGAGGAGGGTGCTGGCGGGCCTAGCTCTCGCAGGCAACGGCCTCGCGCGTGGGGGAGACGATGCACGCTGGGATCTCCCGATCAACCAGGGCGGCGATGGCCTTGAGCACCAACAGGGGGATTGGCGCTGCGAACATGTCGTCGTAGGCTTTCATCTCGATGGCAGTGATCTTCTGGTTGGTGCCAACTATCCCCAGGGTGCGTAGGATCTGCACATGAGCCCTCCTTTCTGCCGTCGGCGGTGCTGCCACGGGTGTGGCGACGGCCGCGGAGCGGCCTCGGCGTGGGGCAAAGTTGAGAGGGCGGCGTGGCCGCTTCTCTGGGGTCGGCAAGGACGCACTGATGTGTTTCGTGGCTGCGGCGAGGAACTCGCCGAGCGTCCAAGCCTGCTGCTGCAGAGTCGCCCGGCAGCGCGATCGACGCATCGTGATAGGCGGCGATGCAAACCGTCCAGAAGCCGGGGATCGAGGCCCGAGGCCAGGCGCGGGCGTGACGGATTCCCCGGGCCGCTGCAGAATTGAGATCAGTCCCTGGGCCCCGGCGGTGGCCCTCGGTTGCAGCAGTGGTGGAGATGCGGCCTCAGCATCGGGTGGCCCATCCCCACTTGGCCCAACATGGGGGGTGGCCTCGGGCGCGTACGTGAGAGCAGATGGGGCGGCAACCGGTGTGTCCCCTCCCGCCAGAAACCCAAGAGTGGGGCCGGAGGGCAGCGAGGACTGGGCAGCTGGGGTTCCTGGGCCCGCCGTGGGACCAGGGGTGGGCGAGGCGCGGCTTTGCCCCGACAGGGCGACAGGCGATCCAGACCGCTCTGAATCTTCTGGCGAACCCACGGAGCTCGAGCTCAACACTTGCTGTACTTCAGTTGGGACTTGAGCACCTGGAGTAGCAGTAATGGGTTGTAACACAGCTGTGGCCCAGATGTCATTAGCCTTCTCCCGTTTCAGCAGCTGGTCCATAGAAATTTCTTGGATAGACTCTTGCTTGGCAGGTAAGATCTCTTGTAACTTCACTTCTTTTCTCTGATACACAAACTGAGTCCACTTCTCAGCCCAATGACATTGCATTACACCCCACTGTTCCAGCTAGTGCATCCCTAAAATAATGTCATCTCCTGGCAGTGGTAACACTTTCGTGGAGCTTGTGAAATTATGGCCCTGAATCCACCAGGTTAAGTTGGGTACAAATTCAGTGTATGCCACCAAGTCTCTATTGGCCACTTTAACTTGCAAGGGCTGAGTCAGTTTTTCTGCAGTAACTGGCACTCTGCTCAACAGGGCCTGATCCACAAAGGTGTGTACTGCCTGAATCAATGAGCACCAGTACCACTTGATTTCCCATGAGAGCCCTGAGTTGAATAGTTTTAGGATGTGAAGCTCCAGACAAAGCTGTCACAGAGATAGTAGCACACTCTTCCTGAAAATTGTCCACTAAAGCATCTAAGACATATTATCTCATGAGGATCAATCACTTCAGCTGCCTTAAGTTGAGCTGTAGGAGCAGGAACCTGCTTGCATGCATGCCCATGCATATATGTTTCTCCACAACTGTAACGCAGACCATTAGCACGTCTATATTCCTTTAACTGTTTGGCTTTCCGCAATTCTCCAGGAGCAAAATTTGGTCTGGTGTCAGTTCTAGTAGATGTATTCTTCTGATAACTAGACTTGTATGATTTCTGTTGAGCCAACAGCCCTTCCTGAACTGTATCATACATGGATGCCACCTGAACATTGGGTGGAAGTTGGAGTCTACCACTGATCTCAGCTCTTCCTTCAGTCCCATGACAAATCTAGCAACCAGAAAAGTATCACTAATTGTGGGCTCATACAACCTTATATTGCACACTAACTGCTGGAACTGAACCTTGTACTCTTCCACTGTATCCAACTGCTTGAGTACCATCAGTGCTTTCATCCTCTCTCTATGAATATTCACATGAAACTCCTGTAAAATAGCCTCACAAAACTGCTCCGAAGTGTGAAAGGCACTGTGCTGTTTGAATGCCTGATACCAATGTGCAGATTTATCTGACAGATACAGTCAGGCAGAAGTAACTTTGAAATTATCAGGGATATTGATACAACTGGAAGAATGCTTCACACTTATCGATCCAAATCCTTACATCCATACCATCAAAGCAAGGAAAATCCATCTTAGGCATCCAGGAGCGCTTCCCAGCAGGTTCATCCGTAGCTAGAGGAACAGTATGATCGACAGCGGGCAAATTGACATGTACCTGAGGAAAACACTGCAGCGGACGAGCAGCAACTCCTGGTGCTGCCCCAAGGATCCCATCGGACACATCAGATGCTGTGGGAGAAGAACTCTCACCACTGCCAGCCATGACCGGCTGCTTCCCAAACTGCGCGGCATGCGCCTGCTCCTGTTGAACCTTCCCCAACGTATCACAGGAGAGGTTGACTTTGACCTGTACCTGATCCAGACGTGTCTATTACAACTCACACCCGGCCCGCATGGCCCATTACACAGATGCTAACCAGCCCAACTCTACCATTTGAATTACGCTCCAGCGCTTGACGCCTTTTCAGTCTGGCCTTTACGTCTCCCAGCTCGGCTGACGCCCATGGTCAGTACCTCAGGACTAACACCCAGTTGATGGGAAAGATATTTCCGTTCCTCTCTCCTGGTTGAAGCTAGACTTCTTAGCATCTTTGTTTTCAGATTAAGGCGGAGGTTTGTCTTTGTCATTATACATTTGCACGTGGATATCTATAATAGCATGGCAAAGCTGCAACATCTGTCAGATTTCATTTTCTGTATCTGAGTTCATTGCATGAAATTATCTACTACTTTAGCATTCTGTCTCTTCAGGGTTCCCTGAACTATATTCTAGAAGTTTTTCCTCTTGGGTTAAATGTGCACAATCAACACTCACCATTAGATCTGTTTTTTCCATTAGAATTTGTTCTTCCATTTCACAAACTGAAAGCAGGCATGTTGTCACAGTAGGATGTTTTTTTTTTACTCCCTTAGGTTATTCGGTAATTACCGAGTATCAGTGCTTTCATATTATCTTATCACTGTTCTCTATCATTGTAGAATGATAAAAGGGAAAGGCTTGTGAAAGCAAGTCGGGATGTGACAATGAACAGCAAAAAGGTCATCTTTCAGGTCCACAGGTAATTGATACAGAGTGCTGATGACCTGCTTCATCTGAGCATCAAAAGTTGTGCTAGATGTATCATGATTTATCTATTTATTTTTGAAAAAGGAAGAAACTGATTGCGGTTCTCAGAATAACTTGGAGCACTCTTACTTCTTAACCTTGATCTTTTATGAATTAGTATGCTGTGTGACGTTTAAAATGTGGGATGTGGAAATGCCTTCTTTTACAATGAAATTATGTTTGGCTTAGTGTAAACTCGTCATGCTGACTTTTGCCGAACATACCCAAGCCAGTGGGTAGTTGCACAGACAATCAGGAATTCTGCATGAGTTAAGTGGTTCGAAGTATTTGTTTCCTCCAAATCAGATGTGATGATAGAAGCAGGATTTTAGCTTAAAAATCATGTCCATCATGTAGCATGAGGCCTGAAATTATAAACGGCTCTTGGAATTGATCAAACTTACATCTGCAAATCATCTTCAATTTCCAATGTGTGACAGTTCACATTTATTCTTATACTATTTTTCTTCTCCAGGATCAGCAAAAATAACAGGGAGGAAGTTCTTTCAAAGGCGGAAAATGACCTTGCTGCTGTGGTTAACCAGTACATTGGCAAATTAGTAAAAGAACTACAGGGAACCGACTTCTGGAAGCTCAGAAGAGCCTATACCCCTGGTGTTAGTATCAATGTCGTCCTTCTACATTTGTTTTGCCAGAAATCCAACATGTTTTTCATGAATGCTGCAGGTACAAGAATATATTGAGGCCGCAACATTTTGTAGATTTTGCAAGACTGGCACTTTATTGGGTCTAGCTGAAATTAATGATTCTTTGCTTGCTCTAAGTGATGAATCCATTGAGCCCTTGCAGATAAATGTGCTTGACTATCTATTAGGGGTAAATATACTGATACATTTATAAATTATTTATGATCATTTTCCCTTTTCTGTACGTGCTGGAAGTTAATGCTATTTCTGTGCTGCCAATGTCTTAGGTTGCTGATTTGTCAGGAGAGCTAATGAGGCTTGCAATTGGACGTATATCTGACGGGGAAGTTGAATATGCTAAAAATATATGTGCATTTGTACGTGACATTTATAGGGAACTGACCCTTCTTGTGCCACTGATGGATGACAATAATGAGATGAAGAAGAAAATGGAGGTTATGCTTCAAAGTGTAGTGAAAATTGAGAATGGTATCACTTCTTTCATGCCCAACAGTATTGAACTTTCCGATGATTCTTCATTTGTGCAACGTATGCTAAGTACATGAATGATCTAAACCTTTTGTTCGGAGACATATGGTGATGATGGAGTCACCGATTGGGGGAGGACTAGAACTGGAATAGCCAGCGAAAGAGGGAAAATTGCAGCAGAATTTATGGATTGTTTAGTTTGAAGAAAAAACTCTTCTCAGTACGGGTTAATCCATTGAACAATTACATGAATTTTGGTGGAAACAACCCTTGTTTGTTATTCCATTGCTTAGGTCCAACCAATGTGGTGCTAGCCTTATATACTGCTTAGAGTGGATAAAAACTAAAGATATTGACACTAGGCTTGGACGTGCTTGCTGACTGTAGCTAATTTACCTTGTTGCACAATCCATGGGCTCAAATGCAAGGAAATTATGCACTCCAGTGGTGAATTTAATCAGAAGAAGCAGCGATTAACATTAGCACAACATATAAACTAGACATGATACAAACTCAAAATACTAGCATGATCACAGCATTGCATCTCACTCATGTATCATGACAAAAAAAAACTTAATAGACCTACCATATTGGCGATATAAATATCGGCTTCCATAGATGTTGCCAAGAGGCGCAGAAATGTTGTCTATGAACTGGTGTATATTTACGCAAATGTAGTCACCTATTTATTGATTAAATTAATCATGAAAGTTCGTAAATTTCTGATAGATAATCAGCTACATATGACACTTAAGAATCTGGATTTGTAGATTATTAAATATCAGTTACACCCTGGTAAAAGGTTGGAGCGTACTATCTTCACATGTACATAATGCTATATAATTTAGTGTGTTCTCCTTGACTCTTGTCACACTCACACCTTAGTTCCCAGACCACCAACTGATCTTAAATGTTGATTCTTACTTGCCAGTTACCACCAGTATATGCTAACAAAAAGAGGATTTTTTCTGCTTTTGCTAGAATAGCTTATCTTTTAAGAAGGTTCTCCTCAACTGAAAATGTGTTGTCCGGTAGTTGCAAAGTTATATTGTGAAATTGGCAGTCCTTTGCTGCCTTTGTTTGTAAGGACTAATGATTCTGCTATTGCTTTAGACATTATTTAGCAGTTAATTAAGCGTGATTTTCGTTCTTAAATCACATGTTTTTGTTTGATCTTGTGTTCCTTTATTTATCTGTACTTTTATTTCTACGGTGACACTAGGTATCCCATCTTTAAATCATTTTGTTCTACACATGCAACAAGAACCACCATGATTATGTTAAAGTTTATCAAGGATCAAACTAGCATGAGTAATATATTTGTTTGGTTAATAGTGTTTTTAAGTATACCCAACCTGAACTAGGGTTGGTTTTAATCGTGCTATTTAAGTTCACATCTGAACTTTCTTGTTGTACCATGTGCTAGTCAACTAGAATCATTCAGTGGGACCTTAATTGTGTCTGTCAAAAGGTCGTTGTCTGTTGCAGTACCTCTAGAAAAGTCCCGTGTTGGTTTGCACTCGGACGTTTCACATTTTTAAATAAAAAAGGGTGGTGTGTATTTTGTACATTCAGAGGTGGGTGCTTGTGTTTAGACCTTGAACCTACATGTTCAGAGTTGATTTTTACCAACATGTGCATCTTTAAAAATTCTCAACAAATTTTAATGTACATTTGCACAAGTATGTAAACCTTGAACCTACATGTTCAGAGTTGATTTTTTTTTTTTTTACAATTCTTCAAAATGCAACCTTAAATTCAAGCAAACATCCTTGCGGGTACAGTAGCTTTTCCCAAAAAGCTGTTTTACTTTGAATTTATTGAATATGAAGGACAAACTAGTACACGATGTTTCCGCTGTTTATAAATAATAATTGTAATCCACTTAGTTTAAATGGTTTGATTCTCTGCCGCAATGATTAGTTTAGAAGCTTTTGTAGTTTTTACTTTTTCTGAACTATCTGGCACAAAAAATTGGCATAGCTGAAAATTGATAATTTAGCTTATTCAAATATTTCGACGTTTGCTTCTATTTTGTGGAATTACATTTCAAGCACAACAGGTTCACAAGTACTGGGGATAGCTTAGGTGTGCTGTGCCGTCTACTTCATCAATTATCCTTTTGCTTTTGTTTCGATACTGTTGATGTTATTCTCCTGCCTATCTTACTGTCACTTTTTGTCGGCGTATTTCTGTTTTTAAAACACATCGCACTAGAGGCACTCCGTGTTTGTTGATTTCCCCCCTGGCAGTGTTTCTCTATGTAGGTGTGCTGATTTAGTTTAGATCCACCTTCTCTGAATACCTAGATTTGCATTTGTGGTATCATCATCATCATCTTATGTTCGTTATTGTTGGATCCATATTAGGGCAGATGCAATTATACTTCTGCTGACTTTGACGCTGTGCATGTATATGTTATACAGCTTGCTTCAGTGTTCATGTGAGAGGATCTGAATACATCCCTATGCTGGGAACATCTGGCGAGTCAGACTACGCCTTCTTCGGTGCCGCCGATTATGACCAATGAAGCCAGACTGCCTAACAGGCATGTTTCTGGGACCTATCTCAAAAAAGAAGCTTTGAACACGACTATTATTTGTTGCTTGTGCACATCACACCGTAGAACATGTAATCCCGGCCCTCAGCTACCTGTATTCTGTAGCATTGCAAGACTAACCTTCTAGCATTATTCTTCTATGCACTGGTTGTTTCTGTTTCTTTATCTTCTGATGCTCTTTTCTCCCCTCCAGAAAGTCTCTTGAGTGCTCTGAACCATTTGCTCTAATCACCTGATATGCCTTCGGACCTCACCTAAGTAGAGAGAAAATAATTGTCTTGTTAATACAATTTCAAGAAAAATATCAAATCTTCAATTAGTTTGGATTGCTTACCGCATGTGTCACGTGGCAAGTCTTAATTAAGGGCGCGTTCGGTGGCCCTCCGCTCCGCTCTGCTCCTGGAGCGGATGGAGCTGGAATTATAATCCCTGGAGCGAGCTAACAGCTGCTCCGTAGATTCTTGGATTTGAAGGAGCGGTGGAGTGTCGAACGCGGCCTAAGTGAGGTGTACATGATAATTCTCTCATGCGGCCACCTTGGAACATTGGGAGAGGTCGTATCCTGCCCATAGGAAATTGGCCAGCGGTAGCCGCGGATCAACAGGCCTAGTTTTCAGTTGGTCACTGCACGGGCGTTGGATACATGCTGTGTGTGGCCGTCGGATGTCTTCCCATGTCGTTTCTTCTCCCCCAAAAGATCAAATCCGACTAGCGCCATCTGAAGAAAGGAGCAGCGGCGCTGTTTGACAGTTGCCGTGAACGAGCGAGGTGACCAGCCTGGAAGCACCAGCGCCGGTCGCAGCGCCCCATTGACAAGCTCGCGCCTCGGTTTGCTGATCGCAGCAAAAACTCCTGCTGGTAGTAGCCAACATGTGTGCCAGTTCGAGCAAAAGACCTCATCGGTGCTGCCACCCCGTCGCCATTGTAGCAAAACTGCTCAACGATGGTAGCTTTTGTGGTTGCCGGATGCAACAAAACATGGTGCCACCCCCTGTCTCCCCCAAACCACGCCCATCGATTGGAGCAAAAAAAATCCACCAGTCCAAGCTTCTTTTGTTGCTGGTTGTAGCTATCTCGGCATGACATCTTGCCGCCATTGCATCACCTTTTGCCGGTTGCAGCAAAATAGAGGACCTGTTCTAGCATCCGGTGGTTCTTGTTGTAGCACCGATATTTGTTGGTTGTAGCTCGTGGACGAAGCCATTGCAGCAAACCGCGACCGCGGTCTCCAGCTCGCTGGGCGCGTGGTTCCATCATCCCTGTGGTTGGCGGTTCGAGCTCGTCGCATCGTTGTGGCCCGATGGTCATAGCCATGGAAATCAAAGAGCGGCGGGCAGGCGAGGTGGGTGCTCCCTTGGAGGGACGAGGATGGGGTGCTCTCGATGAAGGAGAGGTAGAAGATGATGCTCGCAATGGAAAAAATGGAGATAAGGATAAGGGCAGTGGGTGGTGGGCCATGTGAAACGTGGCTCGCGCAGCCGATGGAAGTTTTGGCTAATCAGCCGAAATGAGTCCGAGTGAAAGGATCGATATGGTTGACTAGAGGGGGGATGAATAGGCAACTACCAAATTTTAAGTTTTCTTATCAAATTAGGGTTATCAACAAATAAGTTGTCTAGATATGCAACTAGGTAAGCAACATATATGATGCTAACAATACAAGCAACACAAGCAATCAAATGATACAACACAATAATAGCTTGCACAGAGTAAAGGTAAGAAATAACCACAAATGGAGCCGGTGGAGACGAGGATGTGTTACCGAAGTTTCTTTCTTTTCAAGGAAAGCACGTCTGCATTGGAGCAGTGTGGAGGCACAATGCTCCCCAAGAAGCCACTAGGGACATCGTATTCTCCTCACGCCCTCACACAATGCGAGATGACGTGATTCCATTAGTGGTGTCCTTGAAGGTGGCGACCGAACATTTACAAACAAGCTTGGGGCAATCTGCACAACTTAATTGGAGGCTCCCAACAACACCACGAAACTTCACCACAATGAAATGTGCCTTTGAGGTGACCTCAACCGCCTAGGGTGCTCAAACACCCAAGAGTAACAATATCCGCAAAGGATTAGTGGGGGGAATCAAATTTCTCTTGGTGAAAGTGTAGATCGGGGCCTTCTTAACCAATCCCTAGAAAATCAACAAGTTAGATTGGCTAGGTAGAGAGATCGGGCGAAAATTTGCTTTGGAGCAACAATGGAGTTTGGGAGAGGAAGAGGTAAGACTTCTTGAGGAAGAAGACCCCCTTTTATAGTGGGGAACAAATCCAACCGTTATGCTCTTCTCAGCCCGCACACAAATGGTACTATCGCTGCGGAAGCGGTACTACTGCTTCCTACAGTATGCCAAGGAGAAAGAGGAAAGACGGGAGAACAGAGTGACGAGCCACTACTAGGAAAAGGGCTATAGATGAAATTGACACTAATGGCGCACCAGGCAAGTGGTGCGCCACTACTATATACTAATGGCGCACCATGTGCTGGTGCGCCATTAGTGTCTTCCACACTAATGGCGCATCCTGACAAAGTGCGCCATTACTAGTTCTAACTAGTAATGGCGCACCACAACCACGGTGTGCC